GGCCTGTCCGAAGCCTGCCTCCTCTCTTCTTATGGGCTTCCGAGGCATTTTGGGCCGCCTTCAAACCCTCCTCGGCAGCCGGCAGGCCTGTTGCGGCCTCTCTGTGGCCTGTCCGAAGCCTGCCTCCTCTCTTCTTATGGGCTTCCGAAGGCGACGTTAGGCATTTTGGACCGCCAGTCTATTAGCACCTGGGCTGTCCAACAAGGCCCCCGCAAACAGCCGCCAGTCTATTAGCACAGCCAGAACAGAGGCATTGCTACTTCGTTTTCTTCTTTTTCTTCTTCTTCTTCTTCTTGTTCTTCTTCTGCTTCTTCTTCTTCTTCTGCTTGCCATTGTCCAGCCACGCAGATAGACCTGCGGCCGTCCACAGGAAGTGCTACGGTCAGCACCAGGGCTGCCGCAGCACAAGCCTTGCTGGCTCAGCACCTGGGCTGTCCAACAAGGCCCCCGCAAACAGCTGCCAGTCTATTAGCACAGCCAGAACAGAGGCATTGCTACTTCGTTTTCTTCTTTTTCTTCTTCTTCTTCTTCTTGTTCTTCTTCTGCTTCTTCTTCTTCTTCTGCTTGCCATTGTCCAGCCACGCAGATAGACCTGCGGCCGTCCACAGGAAGTGCTACGGTCAGCACCAGGGCTGCCGCAGCACAAGCCTTGCTGGCTCAGCACCTGGGCTGTCCAACAAGGCCCCCGCAAACAGCCGCCAGTCTATTAGCACAGCCAGAACAGGGGCATTGCTACTATGCTTCTTGCTGCCTGTTGCTAGTGGTTTTTCTGATCTTGTGATGCTTCGGGTCTTCTTCTTCGTGCTGCTGCTGTGATTGCTGTTGTTGGTGTATATCCTGGGGTCGCAGGGCACAACCTTGGCATTGGCATCTCTACCTTTGCGGGCTTTAGCGCATGCCACGCAGCCTCCACTCCTCTTGAAAAGGGGTCGGCGGCACCCGGGCGAAGCCCTTACAATATGATCAGCCATGTGCAGTGAAAAAACCTGGGATCCAAAGGTGGCAGTGAACGTGTGTTCTATTCCATCCAAGCTAGTTACATATTTCTCTGAAAAAAAGAAAACAAGTAAAACAAGAGCTGACCAAGCGTCTCGGAAACGTCACGATCGCGCAGCCCTCCGGCGGCTCCGCCGGTGCGGCCGTCGTCGCGGCGGCGTCGTCCGCGGCGCCGGCGGCGAAGGCGCCGTCGTCGTCGTCGGCGCCGAGGCAAACGCCAGCACGGAAGACGGTGGTGTAGTCCACGACCTGCAGGGGCTGGACATGAAATGACTTGATTTCTTTTGTCATGTTCCTAACAAAGGTGTTTCGGAATGCTTGGAAGAAGCTTCTGAGAGGCAAAGGAGAGCTTTGGTGGCTTGCTCCATCCTCCAGGGTCCTTCTCTGCAAAATGGGACCTGCTGTTTGACCGTTTGAGGATGTTTGAGATCATGGGGAAGCATGCGAAAACTTCCAGAGGCGACTTTCGAGGATGCAAATGGGTCGTATCGAACCTTTGACCTCTGCTAACCATCAAAACCCCGTTGTGCAACTAAGGTCTCCAGCTATGCTCGTTGGTGCTTACCTCATCCTTGGAGAATCATGTGCAGCCAGAGTCCCCTCAAAAACATATTTGGCAAGCTAACCAGCTTCTCTCAGGATCCCCTTCCTGACCATCCTACCTGTCATCCCCAAACAAGTACCTCCCACCTTGCCAGGTGCAATCTGTTGCCAAACGTCTGCACCTTTCAACATCATTTCCAGCCAGTGATCAAAGCGGTGCACATACCTGCGCGGGAACAGCGCGGAACGGCGGCTGACGGTGGGTCCAGCCTGTCTGAATGGATGATGACGGAATCAGGAAGCCCAGTCGGGAAACCAAAAATATGGCTCACCGTTTCCTCACAACAAGTCTTCTCCCCTGCCACTGGACAAACCGTGGTCCAGGACCTACATGCGAACCTGGCCGCCGCACCTGAGAACTGAAGGTGTCAAGCACTGGAAGAGAGGCCGCCAGAAGGGCCCGCCAGTCCAAGAGATCACCTGCAGTCCGGCGGCGACGCTTGGGATCGAAAGGAGGGAATCCTGGTCCAAACACATGGGGACATCAGCAACAAAAGCAACCTTATTTATATGCCCCTCAAGATCCATTCCGTGCAAGTGACTCAAGTGACTCGCCAGCCTAGCTGCTCAGCCAACAAATGTGTCCCCTCAGCTCGAATCAATTCAGGCATTCTACATGTGTCCGTGACCAAAAATCAAGCTTCTCTACTCCAACTAGCACTTCCTTCCTTCCCCATAACCATCATCTAACCATCAATCAAACCCACTTGAAAAGACCACTCCACCTGTCATACCCAGCTCCATCCCACTCCACTCGCCCCGCACCGAAGAGTTATAGCCGCCCTCGGCCAGCTCACAGGCAATGCCGTCGGTGCGGAGCAGTGCAAAGGGGCCACGGTAGGAGGCCAAAGGCTCCAAGGAGCCCACGATGACCTGCCCAGGAGCGAGCTGGGAGATGATCCTAAGGGCCGTGAGGTCGGGCAGGGAAAAACGGAGATGTTCTCGAACCTGAGCAATGTTCAGGGTGTATCTGGTTTTCACTCAGTTCCCAACACGGCATATAACCCTCCAGAAAGAGATGGCAACCACTAATTGATAGACAAATTCACCTTCTCAGAGCAATGTGGATGGTGCAAAAGAGAGATGGCATCCACAAACTGCTAGACATGGTGTCCAAAACATCTTCTTCGACGAACTGACCAATTGATTCACTTTCTCAGACTGAATGGTCACTCAAGTCACTCAAGTCACCAAAGCCAGCCACTGAAGCCGAAACCCCATTCTTCACGTAGCAAAACATGGGAGCCGAACTGAGCCGTCGGCTGTTACTGCCCATGGCCCATGGAAGACCGACTGAGATTGGCACCCTCAAGCCAAAAGACACAACGACGTAGGTTCAACAAGGTGGAGGTGGGAAACAAACATACGAACAAGGCTCTACCCCCAGACCCCAAGAGTTAAACGAGAACCCTTCGCTACGCATTCGGGAAAAAAATCATGTGGAGGTGGGAAACAACCATACTGTACTTCAAAGATCAAAGAGCTTTAGCACCAGCAGTTCCCTGTCGGGGTGCCGACCCGGTTTTACCGGGCAGAGGTGCCCCAGAAGACATCCACGATGGGACCCAAAACCCACCTCCTTTGACACTGCTGGGGAAATCACAGTCTCCCCGTCTCACCAGATCGATTTCTCCGCAGTTTTTGCAGAGGTGTCCGTTTTCTTGGCTATGTGGCCTGATCCAAGTCCAAGAACAGGACTCTCTTCCTTGGCGCATGCTGTCAGTCATAGATGCTTCATGTTTGCACGCACTGTGAGTCAGTGACTGACAAAACAAGGTGATCCCATCTCGATTGTCCAGCTGAACTCGGGTCTCCAAGATGCACACAAAGAACTCATGACTCCATAGACTCCATAGACGAAACATGACAAAACATGACGAAACTGATATATAAAACATTCTTTCAATTCTTTCATTCTATACAAGCTTCCCATCCAAGCCAGCCTCTTCACTAAACAAATAGGCCTTCCCCCACCACAAGTGGAACTTCTCCGGCAACTCCCGCACCTCGATCGACGCGTCGATCCCCTCGGGGCTCTCCGTGAAGCACACGCAGCGGGGCGTGCTCGGCAGCTGTCGACTGGCGGCCGCGCAGAGGCGGTTCACGTAGGCGGCGTCGTAGCGCTGGCCCCACTTGAGGCACACGAGCACCGCGTCCGGTGGAGCGTCCGCCGCGGCAGCGGCGCTCGAGCGCTCCTGGAGTTCGGGGTGGCGATGGGGGCGGCGAGTGGCGCCCTTGGGGATTTCAAGGGGCATTCGATGAGATTGCAGCAGGAGGAACAACAGCAGCAGCAACGACAAAACACAAAAAGAAAAAGAATAAGAATCGAAGAAGAAGAAGAAGAAGAATCGAAGAATCGAAGAATCGAAGAAGAAGAAGAAGAAGAAGAATCGAAGAAGAAGAAGAATAAGAAGAAGAAGAAGAACGACGAGTGACTTCACTGATATTTTTAAAGAGTCTCAGAGTCCCTACACCGGATTCATGTGTTTTATCGTGTTTTCACTGTGCCAGGTGGTGCGAGGTGAGATCCTATTTACTATCCAGTGCATCTCTCCGTTTCCATCGGAATTGGCGAAAGAAGGAAGGAAAAACCTCCCAAGACGTCCTACGACTCTAGGAATGTTCTCTGTTGAAGGTGGGTTCACCACGCTTCACCATAGTTCACCTGTTCAACTTCCAGCACCTCAAGGCACCCCAACCAAAATGAGGAGATCACCACCATCTGCGCCAGGTCGATCAGATCGATCAACAAGTGAACGTCTTCTTGTTCAAGGCGACGTTTCGCCCAGCCCTCCTGGCTCTCGTTCCATCGACTGCAATCAATCTGCACCACCGGAATCGCCACATCCGCGGCATCCGAGGATCGCCCCGTTTGATGCCGCAGGATCTGCTCCCACACCAGCGCCACCGCCTTCGGTCCATCGAGCCCGTGAGGCTCCGATCGGGAGAGTGCATTTGTTGTAAGAGATCGGGGGGGGTCCGAGATCCGTCTCGAGGTGGCGCCAAGCCAACTGAAAACCGCACGAGTCGTAGGTCTCTACCATCGAGTTCATCTTCTCGCTCTATAGTTCTAAGTTCTAAGATTCTAAGTGGGCGCCTTTGAGGATGCCTTACAAGCGACGAAGCATCTCCGTCTTAAAAGCCCCTTTGCCATGTTGAAGCCCCCTGAGCTTTTGGGGGGCGCCTTCACTGGCCTTCGCCTAGACCCACCCTCCAACCGTCTATAGAGATCTTCTCTTTCGAACAGACCTCCATCTGGTGGTCGCTGCCGCTGCCGGCTGTTCGACCCTGCAGCCGGCCCAACCCGACCGCTCGTTTCGGCGCGGGGGCGGCCTCGTCGCGGCGGCCCAGGTTCCGCAAGGCATTGGCCAAGTTCATGGTGGCCTCCGGAAGGTCCGACCAGGTGCTTTGGAGAGACCGGGTCGTCTCCAGGGTCGGAGCATCGCCAGCGCGGCTTTGGGCGGGTGGGGTCCGGAGTGGGATTGAGCATGTCAGGGGACAGAATGAAATGAATCGCCGACATGAACGTCACTATAGGCCTTGGGTTTTGATACTCACTTGGAACCCAGACCCAAACTGGGGTGATTATCATCTCTTCAGATAGACTACGTCGTCTTTTTCTCAAAAGAGCAGGGCTTGGGCTGTGGATTTGGTGTCAAGTATTATCTGTTGGCCTTTGACTTGGTTCATGTACGTCTCTTGCGAAATTGATTGGGATGGGTAGGGGATGGTAGGGGAACATACTTTCATTGGTGGTCATAGAGTGTTTTTGCCTTGGGATTTATTTGATGCCGAATGTGTGGTCCCCTAATTGGAAAGGAATCCTGTGGAATCAGCAAATAGATTGCTTGGAGCTGGGGGTCTTGGGAGAATTCTACAGCAGGGCTGGGAGAGCACACTGCAATAGTTGAGGAATTCTTTGGCAAGGTCCAACCATGTTTTGATGCAAGACTGGAGCCTGTGACAGGCAATGAAACCATCAATCATCAAGCCGTTCTCAAAAGCACGCTCAAAAGACAGTTAAAGATGATTTGGCACCAAAATGGTCGAAACGGGCATCAAGAGTCTTTGACGTATTTGAAGGCTTCAAACACTTAGACTTCGAGACTACCTTCCGACTGGCCAAAGAACACTGAAAGCCACTTCTCCCCCCCATCCCCCTTGTCTTCCCCACCGTTCCCCACACATCCACCGACGACCGCCTCGCGGCTGTCGGGCTCCAAGCGCAGCGCCTCGCGGCAGAGGCGCTCCGCCTCGGCGAAGTCGCCCAAGCCCAGCTGGACGCCTCTCCGCCCGGGCGCCGTCCGGGCGCCGTCCGGGCGACGGCGAAGGGTCGGAAGCTGCGAAGGGTCGACCAATTGGAAACATGTCCCAGCTGGACTGACGGGCCACAATGGGAGAGGTGGAACTTGAACGACTGGAGTGTGTCCTTTCTTCTAGCAAATGTCAGGAAAAAGTATAGGATCAAGAATGTATTGCTTTGCGCAGGTCCTTTTTGTCCAGAATCCGTCTGGATACCGAAGAATTTCTGCATCCAAAGCCAGATCTTAGTCTACTCGCCCCACAGCAACCATGCTGCCAGGTTCTAGCGTTGGCCCCCCCAACAATAAACTACATCTCATTCGCTTCCAAAGATAAGAACCTTCGGGTACGCACTTTTACACGGTCACATGCCGTATTTCCATGTTGCTTGCTTTCAATCTGACACTTCTCCACACAAACCAAGAACATTCTTTGGTACCCCCTCCATGCTGCTTTGTGTAACACACGCTTGCCGCATGCCATTCAATGACACCGTCACCCCAAGAAAGAACACCAAAAAGCGGAGGAAGAAAACACGAAATCCATCGCACCTGCCAGATTGATGATGGCCCCCACCATGCTGGGACAAAGCTGCACCGCCCTCCGCAGCTCCTCCGCCGCTTCGCGGCGCAAGCGCAGGGCGCCCAGGCAGGTGCCCAGGCCAAAGTGGGCGCGGGCGCTGGGCAGCAACTCCAGGGAGGAACGGAAGTGTTCGGTGGCACCTAGGAGCTGCGGTGTTTGCAGCTGGGGGAGGATGCGGATTTGGCAGAATGAGGACGAGGGGTTACCCACCCCCTCGTGTCACCATGTCACCATGTCCATGAAAGCATCGGAGGTCTATGGATGATTTGTCATATGTCATATATAAGCCTTCATCTGTATAGGCCAGAAAAGAAGTATATGATAGGGGTCGGTATGAGGATGGCTCGGATTTCCTTTGCATTGAGTTCAATGAAAGCGTGGATGCAGGGGTCTTCTTACATTTGTCAGATTGGTCGAAAGAACTCAAGCGAAAACCCCTCGCGCATGGTTCATTGGAGAGATATTCTCACTTGTTCCGAGTTTCCTCATGCCTGAAAATCTTGAGACTCTCAAGTCAATCCATCCCACCAGGTGCCCCCCCACTCCAGCCCGGCATCTTCAATCAGCTGAAAAATCCCAGGCACGCTCGTATTTCCCAGCCTTTTGCAGCAGGGTGGCCCATTTCACGTGCATCAAGGCTCGCAGCAAGGGACTCTTCGCCGCCGCGGACTGCCCCGTCTCCGCTCCTTCCTCTTCCTCCACGGGCTCCCCGGGCTCCGCGGGAGGCGCTTCAGCGGAAGGCTGTGAGCGAAGCTCGGTGCCACCGTAGCCGCCATGGGTAGGATTCATTACAGGTGACAAGCTTCAAAGTCTGAGAAAGGAATGCTTTCAAATTGATGGGTTTCAGTGATATTGAGAGGAATCATGAATGGAATGTGCCAGCTGTATTTGTGGTATGTATACTTCGTTCTGGGTGGGGTGGGTGTTGGCAGTTTCCAGTTTCTTGAAGAAACATCGACGCTGGCAGAACTAAGGGTTGCTCGCTAAACGTTGCAGGAGTTATTCCCAACATCCGGTTGAGATAATTAATACAAAACCTGAAACTAGCACTTGACTCAAGGTATTTTACCATCACGCCTCCTGAAATAAGAATATAAGCACCACCAACGCTCAACACTGTAGTTTGGTCCTGTGAATTGGGTAGCTTGACCAGTTGTCGGCCTCCCAAACACATCCAACCATCCAACCCCATCGTTCCATCCAAACGACTTGACTTCGGTCGGTCGATCGGTCGGTCTTTGCCACATCTGAGCCAATCAACGGATTCCCGGGCCATGACTCAGCATGGAACCCAAACACACCGGGCTTAGCCAAGAGGAGACATGGTGTTTCAGGCTGCGATATGTTCAATACTGACTTTGCCCATAGTGGGGGACCTAGGGTAAGAGGAGAAACGAACCAAGTAACCAGTTCACGATCTTGAGAGCAGAAGCTGCAAGGCTCAAGAAGTTGATCTGTATGCATGCGTTTGCATCCTAAAAGCATCAAAAGCCTTTGTCCTTTGTCTACAAAATCTCAATGCACGCTAATTGATGCTATTTGCATCCTTCGTCTTTGGACCCTCAAATCAAGTCAACACCCAGGATCCTCTTCCTCATCATCACCAAAATAAGCAAAAACACCTCAATCCTCATCGAATCGATTGTTCTATTTGCCTCTCCTCCAGACAGAACCACTTCGCCCCAGACAGAACCACGCCGGTCGTCGCCGTCGCCGGCCGCTCGCCCGGTCGTCCGCCACGGCACCGATCTCTTGCACCAACGAGGCCACGGTGGGGTGCTCGAGGCCTCGGTGGCGTGGCCACTGGGGAAGGAAGGAAGGAAGGAAGGAAGGAAGGACGGACACCGCCGGGTGATGCAGGCCACGGTTGGCAGCTTTCTTTGAGGTTGGTGGAAGCACTTAAAAAATGAAAGAACAAGACAACTAGTCAAAGTAACTTCATAGAGTATGGATGAATATGGTTGGACATTCTGCATGGCGCAATAGAACCCCATGAAAGCAGCAAGTTGAAGAAGCAAGAATCAATCAAAACATATCAAAACCCCATAGACTACCCCAACCGACATCCACAGACCGTCCGCGGACCCCCAAAACGACCACGATCTCCCTGTGAAGTCGGTGACGATTCCAAGGCCAAGAACGACGTTGCTTGGTCCTTTTGCTGGGGTTCACCAGTCTGGGGCTGTATCTCAAGCGGCCAGCTTCCACATCACACACTGCAAGGTCAGAAAAGGACAACGGTTCCAAAATCATCCAGACCCACGACCCGAACTTGTTCGATCGTGCCAAACCCGAACCTCCCGGGAAATATAGCGACTTGGAGCCTTGTCTGCATGTGCAACACTGGTTCAATCACAAGCTTGAAGCGTCGAATTTCCGTTGAAAGATGTTCAAAAACCGGTTCGTTCACTCAATCCCTCCCCGCCCCATCGCCCCCTGATTTGCAAACACCATGGTTTTCACCTTCAAGATCAGCCTCCGTCCCGCTGGCGACCAGAGCTCCCCTGCTGGAGGTGCCATAGCACTCCTTGGCCTCAACCACCTCGAGCTTCGACGGAGCAGCTCCGTCCATATCCGTCCACTCTCGGATCAGATGGTCCAGTCCTGGTAGCTTGGAATCCTGGTACGGTAGCACTCATCCTATGGTCCTCCTAATTATATGAAACAAGTTCGCCTCATGCAACATGAACTCTTGAGTTGGGCTTCAAGAGACCGAAGAACTTGAAAAATAACATGAATCAGCTTCTTCAGTTCGTGACCTTTTGAAGGTTCCTTGTCGTGACCCTTAGGAGACTTAAGTGGCCTCAAACCAGGTTATGAAAAGGTCACTTTGAAGAACCAGGAAGTGAAGTTTCAACATCATCCCAACAAAAGGAACTTGTTGGTCGTCCACTGGTCCACCTTTATGTCATGGACTTCCTTCAGGACTTCCACAGGAACTGACCTAAGACGCTGCCGGTGACGTGCCTTGTTGGGCTGCCAAATGGACGACGCCTGCAGGATCGGATCGAGGTCTCCGAACGGAAGGGACGGGACGACGGGCGCCATGGAAGGTCTCTGAAGATGTTGAAACATGGGCGGCGGGCTTCAACATCCATTGTTCAACATCAAACTTCTCTTCCAGTGCAGCAAAAACAGTATATAATACTTTGCAGAGCAAAACGAAGGAGTTTGGCGAGATTGCTAGATCTGTGGAACCTGTTCAACAATGTTCAAGAAAAAAAAGCACTCAGCAACGAGGGGTCTCTGAAAATATCCTTTCCAGCTCATCTACCTTAGCACAACCACTGCACTTGCAACTGTCATTCAGGTGTCCAGACAGCCAGGGACCAGGGGTTGCATAAAGAGAAGCAAAAGCTGGTTCTCACCCCAATCAAGCTCCCAGAGTCCTCACCTTCCATGAAGTTGATACTCGCATGTTGAATCTGCGTGACAGTGCCACCGCGTAAAAAGAAATGCATAGTTTCAAGGCGATTCACAGTTCAATTCATTTGGGGGAGCTGTCCAAGGTTTCATTGACAGCTGCTCTGTTCAACCACACCCATCGACCCACCCCAATCACCGCCCACGAAGATCACCGCCTCCAGGACCGCGACGTCCTCACCCTTCCACTTCAAGAGCCTTAGACGAGCTCCACTTCACTCCAGCAGCTCCCCACATGGATGCAACACACCGCCGGGCTCGACGTGCGCCAGGGCACAGGTTGTCGCCAGTCTTGAGCCCATCCACCTGGAGCGGCTGGAGTGGCCGGTGTGGATTCGGCCGGCTCGTGTGGAGGATGGCAAAAAGGGGGTTCAGTGTCAAAGGTCAACGTTGGTCTTCAAGGAGAAAAGACATTAAACATCCATCAAGTATCTGATGTATTGGTTGGTGCGCTGCAAACGAATTCACGTCTGCCATTACAAGCTAATCTCCGCATGAGCATTGACAAAGTTGATCGGAGCTTCCCTATACTTATTCTGCAATCCTCTTGGACATCCATAGAAACTGCTGTAGAAATTGCATGACGCCTTCCTCATCCTTCCAAATATCATCAGCCAACGGCCAACCTTCGCACATCTCCCTCCCAAATCCTGATCCATCTCCTCCTTGAAAACCAAAAATGCAACCTGATTTTCAGGCCCTTTTCACAGCTTCTTACGACGGAGGTCTCCCTCCCCTCCTCCAGTTCCTTGGCACGAGTGTTCACACACACTGGCCACACCCGATCCAAGCGCGACCCCGGGTTCCCCCACCACCTTCCATGGGTGAACCTGTCACCTTCCCCACCTTCTCCACCTCACACCTCCCCACACAGCCGCGCTCGCGCCTCGGGCAGGTCGAAGGTCACTGGAAGTCCAAAGAGCTGCTTCTCGGGGAGGCGCATGTCCTGGCGACCGGGCGACTCTCACGGTACTCTACGGGTGTCTCTGGTGGTTTCTACGAGCTCTCGATGTGGTGGTGGTCAGATCGGTGTCCACCGTCGAACCAGAAAACCGTCGCATGTCCTGGCGAGGCGACCCGTGGTGATTCGGGCTGGAGTCGTGCATGCGTCCTCCAACAAGCCCATGGAAGCTTGAGGTAGATGCTTCAGCCAACTTGGGATTCCTTTACGCCGCAAACCGAGCCTCCCCAGCAAAAGAGCCACTCAAAGATGTCATGCGTCTAGTGAAACGCAGGACCAGATCGCAAGAGCTACCAACTAAAAAACCAGTCTTTGAATCTGGTGGAAGCACAGAAACGGGATGTATACATTGTTTGAAGCCAGAGTTGTGTTTCAGTGGAGTTGTTACCATATGTTACCATACTGTCAGCTCCGTCTTCCCATAGGTGCTGAATAAATCTTTGGGGAACAGTGATCACCCATTCTGATGTACCCATTCACAAACTTAAGAGATCTCCAAGCGTGTTTTTGTTCGAAAGACCGAGAATACTTGGTGTAGAATGGATACATGTGTGTGTACGTGCTCGTGAGTTGGGTGAAGGCTCTAAGCCGGAAGGCCGGAAGCGCCCCAAAAAGACATCGACTTGGAAACGCTAAACATCGTCCGGGTCTAAAAGCTCCCTCGGCCAGTCTCGTAGGCACGGGCCATGGCAACAAGCGGTGCCCAAAAACCGCGCCTTCACCACGGAGTTGTAGGTGGTCTCATCCTCGGAGTTGGCCAGCTCACGCGGCTCCACCGAGGGGTTGATGGTTGTTTGGTACGGAAAGGTTTCGATCTGCATGGTTCAGACGTCATTAGCATTGACGTCAATATGTTGTCATTTCCTGGTGGATGTCATGGTTTTTCACGATCCAGGCAAGGGACATGAGCACCTGGTGATTTGGGAATTTCTTCATGAGGCTCAAGAGCAAAGAGCAGGGCCTTCTGACCTCATGTATGACTGCATGTATGACTCCCGTCTGTTCGGTTCCCCCACATTCCCCCACTTGCTCTTCTTCAAACATCCTCCGACTGCCCAAATCGAGCCTCGCCACATGTCCTACACCAAGCAGCCTCCACATGTCCACACACGCTGGAACGCGCGAACTCGCATCGGCATGGGCGTCGTCCGTTGAAACTGACCGAGTCGCCATGAAGCCGTGCAATGGGCTGAAGGCGCCGCTGAGGAGGCAGAAGACATCGCAGGCCTGTGAATGCGAGGTTCGACCTCCCCCCCCGCCCCGCGAGAGTCTTTTGGTTGCCTCTGAAAGGGCGAGGGGCCGAGTGGAGGCCGAGGAATGCCTGGAATACCTGGAGCTTGGATGGCGGGTTTTTCATAGGGTGTCTTTGTTGATCTTGATCTGTGACATCGATGGATCTGCACTGTTGGGAGCTCTTCCAGCCCCCCAGTCAAAAAGATACAAACATATACAAACAGTAAATTTAATACCTCCGGGTCATGCTGCAAGCATCCCACTGAGGAATCACAGTGACAACAATGCTGAGTGTCAGCTTCACAGCACTGTCCCATATCAAAAAAATCAAAGACTCCTACTGCCCATGAAACTTTGGAGGGACTTCACCCATCTTCACCTAACAAAAAGATCTAAAACAACAAACACTTATAGTAGCCCTGTTTTTCAAAAGCACCTGTCGTTGGGCCCTGTTTTTCTTTTTGAGCCACAGTCATGGCCCCTCTGTCTTCAAGCCCTTGGCATCTAGACTTTGAACCGATGAAAACCACCGTCTCGACGGACTCGATCCACCTGGCGCTCGTTGAGCTCGATGCTCTTGGCCGCACCGGCCGCCATCTTCTTGGCGTCCGCCGGGTCCTCCATCCGACCGGGTCTCTCCGTGGGTCGGTTCCGGGAAGATGGATGCAGTGGTTGAACATGGTGGTTTCTGTCTGTTCACGGAAGGTTTTTTTTTTGGTAAAGGAAGCAGGAAGCTTGGGATTGAAGCCAGGAAAGTTTGACCATAAGAAAGTTGGATGGATTGGCATCCATGAAGCGGTCATTAGGCTTGCTCAGAAAGGCAGATCTTGGAGGAAGGTTAGGATATGTTAGGATAATATATCTTATTGGCATTCATTGATGGAGTATATTTTGCTGTAGTCTGGGCCGTCTTCAGCTGCAAGCCTTCCGCCAATTAGAAGTGCCTGGAGTGCCCATAGCTTTTTTGAGACTCAGTCTTGCGAAGGGGTGTGTTTGGGAGACTCCGTCTTTCTGTCTTGGGCACTTTCAGAAGTGAGCTAGTTCATCATGTGCCCAGGCGAAACATCACTCTTGGGACAACGAGCCTTTCCTGGATGAAGCCAGGCTGATAGTTCAATACCAACTGGGAGGAAGCCACACGGTATACACGGATTCCGTCAGTCATTGGTGAACCATGTTCATGACTTTGAGGGCTGCTAGAAGCACTCAAACCTGGCTGGACCCAGGTTCACGACGATCGTCTCTCCGTCCTCACCCGTTCTCCTCACCTCTCTTTCTCCGACCATTATTGCTCCCCGGTCCTTGATCATCAGATCCACCAAGGATCCTCCATGAGGCGCACCGGCGCTGGTGGTTCGGGTGTGGATACCTCGGTCCGCGTGGGTCCACCGTCCTCCGTCCGTCCTCCCCGCGGTTGGAGTCCGGGTCGTTGGGAGGGCCGGAGGGCCGGAGGGCACCCCCAGAGGACGTCCCGTTCTGCAGGAGGTATGCCCGAGATCGCATGGAGGAAGGTTTCACCACTCGTTCGTGAGGATTGCGTGTGTAACTGAATAGCTGAACCTCAGTCGACTTCAAATCTACTCTCAAGATTCCAAGAGGGAAGACTTGAAATCCGAGGGTCATGTTGCATTTTCAAAGAGCAATCAGCTTGGGGATACGGCATTTTGGGGCCCTGACAGCTTGTGTTCCTCTGTTGTTCAGGACTCTTCCACTAAGACTTTGGGATTCACTGGGTGCGTTCAAAAATGAAACAAAGCGGATATTCCAACCACATCTTCCTTGCAATTTGCCTGGTGACCTTGGACAATACATTTTGTAGTACAGAACGGTTTGCGCAACCTCTTTTGCTACAAAATGCAAAGTCCCATGCATAAACACAGTACTACAAAATGACCCATGGAAGTATGGTGCGCTACAAAATCAAGGGCCCCAACCCTTCTATATGGAAAATACCTGGTGGGATTTATAGCTACTACAAAATGTCTTGACATGCCCCTCAGCAAGCACCAAGAAATGCTCACTACAAAATGTCGCCGCCCTCTCTTTTGTCTCATCTGCCTTACCACCCAGGAAGCTGGTGGTCCTGAATGTGCATTCTTTACCACCCCAGCTGGCCTCCAAAGGCACAGCAGGCGACCTACCTAATTGACTATTGGAATTGCTTGGGGCGTCCTCACATGCCCACAGAGATTCCTATGGAATCAGCAATTCTGCTTTCCCATCTGCGCTACCCATGCCTGAACTGGAGGAAGCAACTGTTACACGCAAACCGTGATTTAGGATGAGGATGGATGAGGATGAGGATAGACAAGACAATACTGGCAATACAAAATGGTTTCCTCATGCCCATTTGCTACAAAATGAGGCTGCCATAGACTACCCAAACAGAAATGCAATAACATCCAAGTGAGCAGTTGTGAAAGGCTGGATAGCATTTTCTAAGATGAATTGATGCATGGTGTTCAGGACTTGGTGGCATGTTTTGCCGCGAGATGCTCGCAAAAGTCCGTCTAGCAACTACAAAATGGATCAAAATGGTCTCCTCATCCATGTCTGCTACAAAATGAACCTACCCAACCAACCAAACAAAAAATCTCTTGCTGAACGATGGTGAAAGGCTCATGGTCATGGTGCTTAGATGTGCTTAGGACTTCTTGCTGGCACTTTTTGCCGCGAGATACTCGCAAATGTCCTTCAACATTCTTAAAAAACCCTGGCGATTTGGCGGATCACGGGTCAGCTGTGAACGCAATGTGTCGAAGTACTTGCTCACAGAGCGTCCAAACACGTCTGGCGTCTTCATGTGAGCAAACCTCACCACACAGGCAAAAGGTTATTGTGAGTCATTTTGTAGTGAAAGGGAACTAATAGATTATTTTCCTGCAGTTTGTAGAAGGGTCGGGTCCCACTCAGCATCTCTAAACTACTCCGTTTGAAACCAGTGAAAAAGGTCGAAGCATGTCCAAGTATCAAAGCGTCAACAGCTTCATGGCATTCGTGGATGATCTGTTCCTTGGTCTTTCCCTCGGCGGGTGCCAACTTCAAGCGGCGCAACCCATCATTGGAGAAAGCTGGGGCATTCTGGAATGCCTTGTGATCCAATTCGATGAGCTCTGAGACCTGGCCCCTGATCAACGCATACCCCTTGTTCGTCCTGCGATAGTCCTTGAAAGTTGGGGGCTCCACTGACAGGCTCACAAGTACCGGCTTTGTCTTCTTCTTCCTCTTTCTTTTTTCTCTTCCCCCTTCGCGCACTCCTTCTCAACCTCTCCCTTCTTCTTGCCTTTCAGCTTCTTCTTCCTCTTGCCGCCGTCAGACGCATGTTTTGCCTTCTTTGCACGCCCGAGACGGCTGCGCTTCCTCTTGCCACTGCCACCCTTCCCCAACTCGTGCATGGCCTTCTGCGCACCTGACATCAAGCTGGCTGACTTCTTGCCGCTTCCTCGCACCATAGTTGGGTTCACGGCCCAGCCCTGCATATCCGGTAGCCTCAGAACCGCTTGGGCACTGTCCTCGCTGATGGTCACGCGCACGGACCCAGAGTTGTCCAAAGGAAAGCTGCCTTACAAAAACAGGCACTGCAACAGAACAGCACACTCTACAAAATGCACACTCAGAGGAAAAACGCTACAAAATGCATGAGGTATAACAAAAGGATACAAAGGGGTACCTTAACTATGTTGCAGGGCGCAGTGTGTGCAATCCAAGATGGTGATGAGGGACTCTGTTCGGGCAACCCATGCAAGTGAATCTTTGCGGCAGCTCCACTGTGATGGAGATTCCTGCCCCAACGCAACGCAAGTCAGTCATGGCCAGCAAGTCCTAGAGCCTCCTACATCAGCCACTCTGAAAACCCATACTCTAAAGAATGACCAGGAATGCCAACTGTAAATCCAAACAGACTCATACACTCTCTTCCTATCATTTTGTAGTGTTAGCAATGAATACCTTTTATTTTGTAGCCATATAGTTGATTCTAGACGCTCCTCCGATGCGCTTTCCAGCTGAAGTTGCACTGCTCGGAAAGCCACAACAGAGTTGATCGGTGTGTCTCCACAAATCAGCTTTGGCATCTTGACTCCACGCCATACTGACAAGATCATACCTGTTTCCACACTGGAAGTCCTACTTGGTGTGTGGAATAGGACAATGTTCCCTGGCCTCAGCAGTGGACACTCTCGATTCGTCAAAAGAATTATCTTTTAGAGTTGTACTAAAAACATCAAAAAACTACTGAACAATTGAAAGTGCTCAGCAAAAACTACTAAAAATTGAAAGTGCCCAGCCATACTGCTCAGACTATATTCCTCTTTCCCCCGTCCAATATCTATCAATCACAAATAACATCAAATATCATCAAATATTAGCAAATAATCACATGATATCAAAGTCACTTCAAGGTTTCCAGCGCTCCAGGAGGTAGCTGCAAATCTTTCCGAGCCCTTTCTGCGACTTCTCGCCACTTGGCTAGGCGACTGGTGCGGCTGTTGTGAAAGCCTTCTTCCTGCTGATGGTTGATCTGCGCGATACGCCGTTCATTGTACCTCAAGATCCACACATAGATTGCTTGCCTCCAACTTACATTCACTACAGAATGCATGTACACATTGTTTTCAGAAACTGTGTTCTACAAAATGTAAAATCATACCCTTGCATTACGGCAGATGCTATCCATGCCTGCAAACATATTCTAATACATTCCAATACTATGTTGCTGACATTGCGTTGTATGAGATCGTATGAGTATTGACAGAAAAATACAGAATGGTTTTCCCAGCCTCATTGGCTACAAAATGAAAGGCAACATGCCAAGACACAGTATCATGTCACGTCAAACCCATCTCGTTTCTATTTATCTTGCCGTGGGGCTGGTACCAGTTGAGCGCTGATGCTGCCCTCCGGGTGTTCTGCGGATTCTTCAAGAATCCACTGTCAAGGCCACCCCTCATTGACCGTAATCGCAGGCACAATCGGAAGATGCTGTTCAACCTGCAGCCTTTGTTCGCCAAAGCATGCCTCAGAGTACCTGGAAGCGGCCTTCGCTTCCGACCAGATCTGGACTGTTCAGATCCAAAAGGTTCTAGAATCGCTGGTTTCTCCATCAGCTCTTCTAGCTGTTCTCGATCAGGAACTCCAGCTAGGTCATTGTCCACTGTTTCCGAGTGTCTCTCCTCAGTTGACTCAGCTTGCTCATCACCAACCTTGAAAGCCGAAGGTTCCACGGTCTCAGCCTGAAGTGCATCCAAAAACTCTGTGCATTCATTCTTTGCGGTTTCCTCGCAAGCCAATTCTTCGTCGCCCATCTCAAGTTCGTCCTCTTCAAGAGCATCATTTTCCGTGTCCCAGAAGCCGACGGCACAGTAGTCCTGATACCACTTCTCCAGCTTCTCAGTCGGCACCTTGCTGCACCAGGATGCCAATTCAAGCGCCGCTTTCATGCCATTCTCACAGCAAGTCTGGAACCTTGCTGACTGGCAGCAAGCACGCTCTACAAAATGCAAGGGAATTAATGGGAATTACCAATACCTCTACAAAAACATAAAGACATGTAGGGACCATCACCATGTGATGAACAAACAGGGACAGTGCAAACAAGCCACTCTGAATCTGTCAAGGCAGCTTCTTGACGAGCAGGCGTAGCTTTCAACTTGTTCAACTTCCCCTGCCCTTAAGTTCTGTCTTGCGCATGCCAAAAAGTAGCTCCGGGCCGAGACCTGACTATTGCTGGACTGCTGCCGGATTCCCGCAAACCACTGTTCCACAGAAATTTCTGTGAGCCGTCCATGTCCATGATCAAAGCAATTGTACCAGGGAGGTTTTGTCAAAGTAACCACGATGGTCGCTAAAGCGGCACTTTGGGCATTGCTTAGCGTCTGACCTGCATAGAAGCAACTTCCTGCAGGAAGCTCCATGGCTTTGCACTTGCGGTCAGCCAAGATTTTGAACAGGTCCATGCCGACGAAGCCACTCACGGCGTTTTCGCACCGTTCAGCCATTGTCAAATCTCGGTGGACCAAGCCGGAAAGGCACAACGCTGTCATGCAGTTGTGGATGCAAAGACCGGACAGGCTCCACGGAATGGTCATGGCTTCCAAACTGCCTTCCTCAGGAGAAAAGAGGGCTGTGGAAGTGCAATCTGTAGAGTAGAGAAGCACAATGGTCGAAGTGAAAGTACCATCTACAATCATCACTATAACATACTATAAACCTCTATATACATCTATAATCATCTATATACATCATTATACATCTATATACATCTATATAGCACTAGCGCTACTAGGACTTATTCTTCCAACCTTTGAAGGCGCTGCCTACGAGTGATCTTGTGTTCAGCTCATTTAGTAGTAATCCTAGATGGCCCAAGTTCATTTAGTAGAGGCAATCCTGATTGTATTTTGTGCATTCTAGCGGCAACGCTGTCCACCAAAAAGAACGGGTTGTTGACCAAACTGTTCAATTTATCGCTTTGCGCATTGACCCGGCTGTATGCTGCTGGTGGCAGGCCGTGAACTCTGCACTGGGTGTTGTCAGTAAACAGCTCTCCAAAAAACAGCGTCCGGAGCGGGGAGACCATCTGCCCATTGAGGTTCTTGCTGGAATGGCCTCTGGGCATCTCTAGGCCATCAGGAATTATATAAAAGGAAAGAAAACTTGTTATAAAGATTTACACTATAAAGAATCCACAAAACCTAAACTTATTCTACAAAGCCTCTACAAAATGCACAAAAACATCAAAACACACCAAAATAACAAAAGACCGCCAAGGCAGTCGAGAAGCAAACTCCCGGCAGGGCCCAAAAGTACTCTCCGGAAACGGGCTCCTTGCAAAGGCGCACGGGGAGCCTGGGCAAGCAACATGCTGGCAAACTCTCGTACGATAGCTTGCCAAACCACGGTAAAGCCCGCAGCTCAATCGGGTCCATGCCCTGAAGCTGTCCATGGATCACTTTGCGGATGAACAATTGGCTACTGTGCTGGTCGAACACCAATGCGCGCACGATTCCTGATGCCTTCTCCAGAACGCGGCCAAGCAAATCCAGCATAAACCAGTTTGACCGATTCGTCCCTTGCACGTTGGAAAAGTTGTGCTCTATCGGGAGGCTGCAAATGCTCAACGGGTTCTTGCGCTTCTGGCACGGGTCCCATGCAATCATCTCAAGCATGTTCAAGGCCTTCACTACAGAAGAAATGTTCAGCTTTTCCTCCTCCAAGCTGATGAAACAGTTGCCTTCTGCTCCTGTCTTGAACATGCCGCCGACCAGCCCGTGCTGGGAATGAATCTTCAGCTGGCTCAGCGTGGGCGTGAGATATGTAGCGTCAAAGCAAAGGACGAAGCGGCCTAAATAGCTGAAGCTTTTGGACCCGCTAGCTTTCCTACATTTTCCTACTCTTTTCTGATACTTGCATTGTGTAGTGACTTTTCACTTGTTGTTGCAATTTGTAGTGAAGAATAACTACTTTGAGAATCTTTGTGACGTATTAAATGATACTAACGCCCAGTCTACAGTAACACCCTTACACCGCATTCCAAGAATAGAACATAAGCATAAACATACAACATGACCAAGGTCTACTGAAGCTATTGCAAGGAACAAATGCCTTCCGACGTGGTCCTCAACGCTCTCTGGTCCAGAATCTCAAAGTTCTGCTGCAGAATGCCATCAAAATGCAGAGCTAGCGCGGACGCAGGAACACTTTTCGGCAGCAAATCATCTAGTAGGTTCCCATACGTCCTCAAATTCAGACCAAACTCTTGGGCCAATTTCCGGTTGCAGCAAGCTAAAGCCAGTCTTTGACCTGCGTCAGCAATCAACAGGCGCTCTGCTTCTGATTCTGCCGTCCTCCTTCCTTTCATTGTCGTTATTCCTTTCTCCTGTTTGTCAACCAACCTGAGACACTGCAAGCTGATCCCATGCAGTAATGGATGCGACTCCAGTTTTCCTTGCATGGCCGCTGCTGCTATTTTGAAGGATGCCAGGTCTTGTTCCTGCGCACGTCCACTTCTGATGATGGCCGTAAAACGACCCACAATGTCGGACATCTCTTCTGGGATCCCCATCACGTTGACCTTCAAACAAGGCTTCACGATGGACGTGACAAAGTCAGCATGAGCTTCAGTGGCCGTCTCCCGTGTGGCAGAGAGCCAGCTTGCGCGGACAAACTGCTGCAACTGGGAATTTGACATCTTGAGCAGCTTGGAGACGACCTTGAAATCGTGCTCATACAGCGCACTTTGTTGGATCTCAGACTCAACTGCTTTGGCTGCTTGCTGGCCAGCAAAAAGTCTCGAGCTCAGCAGCCTGGCCATGTAATACTTTTTTGCAAATTTGAGTACTGTTCTGGGGACGCCATGTGCGCCTCCCAAAGACTTGCACTCTTTGCAAATCGGAAGGCTATTCTCATTTACTGGAGGTTTGCAAAGCTTCTCACACTTATTTGCAGTGACGGTCCATGTGCCACTTGTGTGGTCCTCCGGCAGCCGGAAAACAAGAACACTGAACACTATAGAACACTACGAAATGAGTATCTGTAGGCTCTAAACACTACTAAATGATGGTTGGTAGGCTCCAAACACTACAAATTTCAATTCAGTGTTTGTTAAGACCCTTTAAGTGACTCTTGTCCTGCTCGTACTTGTGCACTGCAAGTTGGCTCAGGTTGGTCATGCTCACCCAAAGGCCAAATTCCTTCTGTAGTGAAAAGAGGTGCCCCGCATTCTCCTCATTGTTGAGCACCAAGCCTGAGCAAGGAACTGTTCTCTCTTCATCCTCCATGGAAGCTGCTCCAGCTTCCTGCGCAGTCTGACTCAGACTTGCCAAATTGCGCTTGTGTGTCACGCAACCCAGGTGTTTGTCAATGAAGTACTTGACACTGTAGTGCTTAGCCAGGCTGAGCTCTCCCACCTTTCCTTGTGGTTGGGTTTTGCTCTTGCATACTAGGCATTTGAAGGGAAATGTCTTCCCGTGTGATCCAGGCGGCAGCAGTTCGATGACCCCCGGAAATTTCTTGGCGTATGCAAAAGGATCACTATCTTGATCCTCCTTTGCATCAGGGTCAATCTCCTCCTTCACCTCTCGCGGCTCCTCACAAACCTCTCTGGCCGCATTCTGATCTTCGGGCTTGGAAGTTGTTGCCAGTTCCCCTGTCGGGTCATCCAACTCTTGCTGCAAGCGTTCGGCCGAAAAGCGACATCGCTTCAAAAGCTCCTGGCAAGCATGGCATTTCGAGGTTGCCGCTTCCGCATTACCTAGCAACAAATGCTGCTGCAGGCTCACATACCCACCGACTGGACAGACTGCTGTCTTCTTCAGGCTTGCCTTCCTGCACCAGGGAGCATTTGGAATACAAAATGAAAGGGGCATAATCAATACGCTCTACAAAATGAGGTTGACCATCCCAAAATTAGCCAAGATGTAGCTTTTGTCTACAAAACCTTTCAATTTGTAGTGTGATATTGCTGGAGCCCCGGCCTGGTATGCGTTGACTGGAATTCTGGGTATGAGGCTCCAATCCTGCCAAGATACTGCTTGACCACGCCCAATTGCTGAGCACGGTTAGTGACAAGCTTCTTCTTGCAAGTCCGCGCATGCCGAGCACGTTTCATACGAGGGACTATTGCGCCCTCCTCCTGCTCATCATCCTCCTCTGCCTCATCTGCTGGCTCTACCTCTGCAAGTTCCCCAAGCAAATCGTCCTCTTCCTGCACGACCTTCCTTTTGGCGCTTTTGGTCTTCTTCTGTGGAGGCTTGAGTCCGGCCTCTACCTTGATTGGCTTGCCAAAATCAGCTGCGCGGCAACTTGACTTGGTCATCTCTGCAGGCATTGGAAGCTTCTCTGGTGTGTTTTGCGGCACTGGCTTCTGCTTCTTCTTTTTCGGAGTCCCCGATTTCGGTGTCTGGGACTTTTGTGGCTCATCGCCATCTTTAGCTCGTTCTTTCCGATCCCTCTCAATCTCTTCCTCCACAAAATCCTTCATGCCAAAGAATTTGAACATCGTCTGCCAAGCAGGATGCGCAGCCACCTCCATCCACATGTCTCTCATCTCCTCAGAGGCAGCTCTGCGCAGGACATAAAAGCCAACGGCAATCAACGGGACATATACATCATATACATATATATATATATATTTTTTTTTTGGGTTACTGAGGAGTGCATTTTGTAGTAAAGATGAGCCTTGGCATGCATTTTTTAGCACATCACCGAAAACACTAAGGTTTTGTATAGCCGAGTTTCTTTACGCAACTGGTGAGCGCGTTTGCGGCTATAAGATTTCCCACCTCTCACGCGTGCAGGCTTTCCTTGACCCAGCTCATCTAGGGAGTAAAGCCCACAGTTCCCATCTGCAAGGACATCTTCCGCAAATAGCCCTCGCTCCCGAGCTGTCTGATGCAACTTCTCCTCTGCATCTAGGCGTTCCATCAACTCCTCAAGCTCAGCAATGGCAGAAGTTGTATCAGCACTCTTGGGCTCTCTCCGAAGCTTGGCAACTCTGTTGGCAAAGACTTTTTGCTTTCTCTCCAAATCTTCTTGCAACTTCATGTGGCAGCGTTGCCAGTCTTTCGGGATCTTATCACGGTGCCATGCAGGGAGAAAATGGTTGAGTTCAGCAAAGGTGGAACGCTTGTAGTCTGCCCGGCACGGAACAATGAACCAACTATCTGGACTTGCCGTGTCCACTTCACTGGAACTCTCATCCACCACAAAATATTCTGCAGGCATCAAGGATTTGCATACGTCGCGAACTTTCTGAATTCTTGGATTCTCATCATCATCGAAGGTCATAAGTGATAGTTCCTTTCCTTTGTGCTCAGAATACAGGAAGAGGTCCACAACTGAAATGAGGTACCCGTTCTGGGTTAGAAAGTCCGTTGCATATGTCTCCTTGGTGTCACGCGCACAATGACCACTAAAAAATATTTATCACTCAGGCCTTCATGCTACAAAATGCATGCTCATGTGCAAAAACTGTCAATCCTAACCAGCTACAAAGCAAAACCCGAAAAACATATCAAAAAACCATGTGAAAGCGTAGCAAGGGGCAATGAGCGCTTGAAGATGAGGATCTGCTTGCACTTCTTCCATGTCCTCTGGGACCTCCATGGGTGGACCCTCCTAAGCTGCATGGTCATCCAGTTTCATCAAGAAAACTAAGTAATTACAAATGCAGTCAAATACGCTGAAAAATAGAAAAAAACATGAAAAACATCATGGACCTTGAGCCAAACATGATGGTTTACAGCGGAACTCATCTGAACATATCTGAACTCTTTCTTGATCCTTGACCTGAAATGCGTGAAAGCGGCAGCAGGAGCTGGCAGTGGTGGTGGGGGCATCAGCGCAGAGACCAATGCTAGTTGTTCGAAAGCTGTCTGGTCAGAGTTCTCCCAACCGGCCTGATGGCGCACGCAGGACTACCCTCTCTACAAAATCCACACCTTCCAACTAGCACTCATTACAAAATGCTCGGCTTCAGTCATCCAATTGTTGTATAATTCCCAAAAAGATCCAAAAAGCATAAAGAACAAAGTTTCATGCAAGAGACATTTCCAGCAGTTGAAGTTGGTGCGGCTTCATCTTTCCAGTCAGCTTCTGAAGTTGGCTCCATGCGTTCCTGGAAGACCGTAGACCGTAGAACGGGTAGAACGGACACAGTGCAGTATAGATAGTATAGACCAATGAGTTAGTATTAAATAACATTGGGCTGGTTGAAGACTCTCTCTACAAAATGGCATCTTCCATTTATGCTTCTTGGAAAAGTCTACAAAATGATTGGCCCCATGACCAATTCCCAAAAACAACGAAGAATTCATTATGCAAGAGACGTCAGCAGCATCTGAAGGTGGTCCCTCTGCATCTGCTTGAATTGCTCTGGCTTCCGCCTAGGAGCCGCAGATTGCAAAAATTGTTGGGAAATCTTCTTGAAGGATGTTCATGGATGGGGAGTTGGATGACATTGGGCATTGGGCTGCTTGAAGGCTCTCTCTACAAAATGTCATCTTTCATTTATGCTTCTTGGAAAATTTCTACAAAATGATTGGCCCCAGGACCAATTCCTAAAAAACAACAACCAAGATCAACCAAGGATTTATGCAAGAGGCGTCCGC